TTCTTCACACCTTAGTCCATGTAACAGGTCGAGAAAGATGATTAAAAGGTAGAATTCTTCTTCACTCCTGTCATCTTCTTTTTTTTTGGGTGGGTGGGGTGGAGTGGGGGTATCACTTATTGCAGTTGCTGAGGTTCTCTAACAATAACTGGAGCCATTGTCTTTAAATTGTAGTATTCTACCAGACCATCTGGTTGTCTGGTTGAGTGAACTTTTGTTTTCTTTGTTTGATCTGTCTGTATTTAGTCATTCCTATGTTATTTTTGGGTGAAATTACAGTGCTGTTGACATGATTATTGGAATAAACACACATTTTTAATGATGTGAACAGGGTGCTGTTGGACTGGCAATTTGGGTGCCCTCTGTAACCATTCAGACAAAGGAAGTGGAGGCATCAGACTCCAAATATGTGTCAAAAGGATACTCTGTCCTTTCGCCAGATGATGAGAAGAATGAGGAGAGTGACTGGAGGCACACGAGTGAGAGGAATGACTTGGAACTAAGTGTGATTGGATATCATAGCAGTCATGAATCTCTTGATGAAGGCTTAATTCTGGAAGATCTAAAGGTATGATCTTTAACTTTCTGCCTCTGGTTTGTGACAAAGTTCTCCTCTTATAGGTTTCTACTCTTTTTTCTTCTGTTGAACTATCATTTCATCTTGGTCCTGTTATTCTGAACTGTTTTTGTCAATGACCAGGTTTCTCAGGCTATGTTAAATGATTATCTGAAGGTCTCTCCAAACCAAACTGTGAAAGAAGCATTAGAATGCATGCATGAGGGTCGTCAGAGTTTTGTTATTGTGGTTAATGCTGAAGATTATCTGGAAGGAATTTTAACATATGGTGACATTAAACGCAGTTTGTTTAACAAGTCAGGGGATTCTTCCAACAGGGATTTGGCACTTAAAAATGTACGTATCTGTTGAGTGCCACCATAAATAAGTTTCTTTTGGTTCTCATTATGCAAGTTCCTTTTCAATTAACTCTGTTTTCTCCTCTTTCATTATGTAATCTTTGTTTCTTGGTTTCTCTCTTTAATAGCTTTATTGATTTCTTTAATGTGTCTACAGGCAGATACTTGTCTTGTTTCCGCAATTTGCACAAGAGGGATAAACTATCGTGGGCAAGAATGTGGACTTCTAACTTGTTATCCTGATACCGACCTAGCAATTGCTAAGCAGATAATGGTGGCCAAAGGAATCAAACAATTGCCTGTGATCAAGCGTGGTGGAGATCTGAAAGGAGAAAGAAAGCTCAAAATTATAGCTATTCTGCATTATGAGTCCATCAAAGAGTCTATCAGGTGTTGCTTCTCTATCTGTTATTTACCTGATGTGTCTTATCGTGTCTTCTCTCATGTAATCCAGCATTTTAAAATAGGATTTATTACACTAAACACCCCTGTAATATGACTCAGTTTCAGATATATCCCTTGTATTTTGAAATCAAATACCTATACCCACTATACTATGAAAATCATACGCTTACACTTGGTTTTAAAAAACAAGGGGCTATCCGAAACTAAATCATATTATAGGGGCATTTAGTGTAATTAACCCTTTAAAATATATGTTTGGTTCTACGCTGTACTTGATTAAGGTAAAGTTGTTATTTTGATGGATATTAAGAAAATGAAAAAAAGATAATCGATTTCTGGACTTCTTCTTTCCTTAATTTAAAATATTCTTTAGCAGTTTTTTCCGAGGGAATGTAAAGAATGGTAACATGTCTACTACAATGACTGCGTTCTGGAAGTCCAACTGACATTTTTGTGTTATGTGAGAGATAAACATAGTGGCATCGAAGATGTGAACTAACTGATAGAGTCCCTCCAGTATTTGATGAATTATGGCTTAAAACTATAGTATGAATAGTTTTTAGAACACCTTTGAAACGTTTATGAGGCTAGGCTCTGGGGGAAAAACAACTACTGCGCCGTCTTGCCTGCTTTTATTTTGGATGAACTTACTTGTTTTGCTTGGAAGAAGAGAAGTTGGCCGCAAACATTGTAGTATTATTGAGATTGTGGATGAACTTTTTATGATCTATACTCTAGTTCCTAATGGGGATACATCTATCTTTCCTCGTATTTGTGTATCTTGCTATAAATGACTGAGAGAACACAAGATACGAGGTATCAATCTAGCGATTACAAATTTGAATCTCCATTTGTTTAGAAGCAATTCATTTGTATCCTTAGGGCATTTTCTGATCATTATAAATTCCCACAGGAATGAAATCACTCGCCGAAAGTCAGTATACCAGCAGAGAGAAGAAGACAACGACAAGCAGATGGTGACAAACGGTCATTAATTGTCGAGAGGGACCGAGTATGAGAAGCAAGCTTCACCAATTGATTCTTGTTTGTTGATGAGTCTGAGCATCAGCTGGTTATGCAATATGACTACACAGTTGTTTCAGCTCATAATTTTGGTTTGAGTTCCCTTCAATACTTTATGGACTCCATAGCATACACTATATAAATCTTATTGTTATTATTTTTTGGGTGTGATTTGTATTAGATAGTTGTCAATAAGTTTACTTGTGTAGTCCAATACCTCGTATTTGTATATGAAATTTACTCTATAGTTTTAGATGCCAATATAAGTTGAATGATAGTAGATTTAGACAGATTTGAAGGCAGACTATTCATTATTAATGAAAATACTCAAAGTCCCAACCATTTGTGTTCTTGAGACAATCTAATTGCCAAGAATTCTAATGTTTTAGCTATATTTTCCTTTTCTCATTGACTATCCCATTGTGTTGCATAATGGCATAGTATTGTAGTTCACAACAATTACAACAATAATGTATTTAGTGTAATTTTATATGTGCGATCTGAGGAGGATAGAGTGTACACATGATCTTATTTCCCTACCTTGTGGAAGTAGAGATGTTTTCGAAAGACCTTTAGCTCAAGTGCAGAAAAACTAGTAGAAATTTTACAAAATTAGAATAGTCGTGTTTCTCAATAACGTTTCAAACTATGTTTTATTCAAAAACAGGCACAAAACATTAGTGTAACGTCATATTAATTTGTTACATCTGAGACATGTTTTATAGCTAAAACGCAACTGATAGTAACAATTCTTTAAAGTCTAATTATAGACAAATATATCTTGCAAATTTGGAATCAAAAAGTTATTGAAATTAACGTTTTATATTTGTTTACTCCGTTAGAAGTTTGTCTTTTTGCCGTTATTTTATTTTTTATAATAAAATATAAATATAGTCAAACGTCACTGAGAAACACAGTCATTTTAATTTTGTAAGAAAATTTTAAATATATTATTTTGGTGAATTCATCTAAATAATAGATGATTCGGTCAAAAATTCATTCATTTTTTATTGACTATATGTAACATATAACACACTCTTTTAAACCTTTATACTATCTCTCTTTGAACTAATTTGTTAATTTTTGACTTGACTCACCTATTAAAAATAATACTATTGATATACAAATTTTATTATTTTATCCGTATTAATTAATAGAATTTCAAATATATGTACTTATTGCATTTTTCAAATGCACTAATACAATATTTAATAAATTGAGAGTATAATAGGAAAAATATTTTTATTTGATTAGTCAGTGACAACTAAATATAGAAATCAAATAAAAAAATATTTGACAAATAAACGAGGGAGCCTTAAATGGTTTTGCTTAATTTTATTAGCATTTATACTCATTGCTATCATTCTTAAAATCTGCAGTAATTATCAATTGACATTACAATTTATTCTACAATATTGTTTTGTTACAAATTGACTCTAGGGAGAAAGAGTGAATAAAAATATGTTATTTTACTTTTTTTTTGTGCTCGATTTTTATTTTTTTCTTGAATTTTTATCAATAATTTTTATGCTTCTAATTTTTGTTAAATCTGCAGATACACCTTTATCAGAAGAAAGATCGTTAAAAACATTATCTCTTGACATGCCTCAAGCTACGAGAATTTTTCATGAACTATTTATCGTAAGATTTTATATAATTTTTTTCATATACTTACATGGTTTGAGTTATTAATGATTAGTTGTGGCTTATATAGATACTTTTTTTAGGTAAGTTTTATTTCAATAAATTTTGAAAATTCTATCTGAATTTACGTCAAACATTAATTAATTTGATCTTCATTTTTCTGAAACCCAAACAAAACATAAATATGTGCTTGAGAGATAATTTTTCATACCCTAATTAGGAATGTATGGATTCTCGAGAATTGAGGAATTATCGAGTACATTATCAACTTTTCACACTTATCATGATAACATCACCGACCTTATGGGGAGCAGCGAGGGCTAAGGTGAACTCGGGTTGATAATGAGAAGCGGTCAATTCAGTAACAAAGGCACCAACACAAATGGTTGGTTGAATTGGGTGATAGCTCAGTGACAAGGTACGACCACTTAACCAAATCAAATTGATTTTCTTTCATGCAGAAGGATTCACATTTTGTGTACTCAAAAAATTTCCTTGATGTCTTAATTAGAAAGAAAAATCATATAGTATATCAATGCAAGCATATCTAGAGCCCATTTGGTAATCATTTCCACTTAAACAACAAGAAGTTGGAAGCAAAAAATTCAAAAGATATTGAATGTTGATGCAGTATTTTTGGTTATAAAATGAACCTGTAGGATATACTTATAAGGGGGAAAATGCCCATAATATTATAGAATCAACCAAGTTTAGGAACTAGTTGAACTTTCGAAACTCGAAAGAACACAAAACCATTAGAACCAAGTCTAGGAACTAGTTGATCTTTCGAAACTCGAAAGAACACAAAACTATCAGACTAGTTGATACTTTCGAAACTCGAAAGAACACAAAACTATTAGAACCAAGTCTAGGAGCTAGTGGATCTTTCGAAACTCGAAAGAACACAAAACTATTAGAACCAAGTCTAGGAACACAAAAGTATTTAGAACCAAGTAGGTTCTCAGAGTCAAGCACAAGGCTTGTGACACAGTTGATTCTTTCTTTCATAATAAGAAAAAGTTTCACATCTGAGGTCCAGGAGGCAATCCATTCATAGTTTGCTGATAAGTTGATGAGGCATTGGAGTAGTTCATGTTAGGATTTGGCATTGGTTTTCCTTCTGGAAGCACGAAACCAGCATCGTTAACAGGTTGTGGCCATCCTGGATATGGATAGGCAGGGACTGAAAACTGGTGCTGCTCAGAGTTGAATCCGGTCATAGAAGGACCGGTTAGACCTTGCTGCTGGTTAGTTTCGGAACTGTTAAAGCCTGAGGTAGAACCAAACGGGGGACCCCTTCCGTAACGCCTGCTGTTCTTCTGAAGTTGTTTAGGTTCAGGCCTACCTACCTGGTCTTGAGCATTAGTAATTATCGGATTGGAGCGATAGATTGAAGCAATTGAGCTAACTTGGATACTGCTGCGTTCTTCTGGAGCGTCATGGTTGTGCTTCCCATCATAACTGGTAATAACGGACATCTGATCTAATGGAGACCTCTCGACATGTTTCCTGACACTGCAGCCGGAGTTTGTGCACTTGTAGTAACTCCTGGCAAAGGAAAGTAATCTATCAGTTCAAGCGAACAATTCAGTGAGTGATGCGTGTCTCAGGCGCACGCCACAGGTTCAAAGTTACAACAGACAAATTAGGAACTTTTAAGAATGAAATAGGTCAATGAACATAACAAACCTAGGATTTGGATTGCCTTTAACCAACTTTTGGCCATACTTGCGCCAGCGATATCCATCTTCAATGACGTCTACCTCACTGATAGTTTCTACCACAATTCTTGGCTGCTTCATTGATCTGCTGACGCTGCTCGTATCTGTTGCATCCGCTTCTATCTTCCTAGATTATCAAAGAATAAAGAGAAAAGAAAAATGACAATAGGTCCATATGATGTAATATATCGGAAATCCTACATTTTAGTGCAGAAGATGTAAAAACCTTATTTTAGACTCGGGGTCATATCCTCCATCGTCACAATCTAGAGGTGCACTTCCACAAGTACCATGATCATCTCCTTCAGTTGAAAAAATAGATGCTATGTCAACTGTATCGGCTGATCCCAGCTGAGCATCATTTGAATGTAAAGTAGCAGCTCCCCTGCAGTATTCAGAGTGCAAAGCTGCGAATGATATTGCTTCAAGATTGTCGTTCTTCCGCTTGAGGCCTCCAGCAGTAGGTCCTTGTTGGACGGTTTCCAAAGCCAGATCACTGTTAACACCTGTTCCAGTTGGATCCACATTGTCTAGTTGGAGGTCACCAAATGAACTTGAAGATCCGGGGCCTGATATCTGATTTGGCTGTGGTTTTGGGTGTTTGTGAGCCCCATTGTATATAACTTCCGTGACATGACCTTGATGATATCGCGCTATTTCCTTCTTGACAAGACAATTTGGATGTGTGCACTTATAAAAACTCCGAGGATACTCGCTTCCTTTAACTTGATTTTCCCCATATTTAATCCAATTATGACCATCTTCAACTGAAGTATCACCAGCAGCACCCTCATTTTGTTGCTTTTCAAGAGACGGAGGATGCTCCGTAATACCACCAACTGCATTAAAGGCCCTTACCTCTGGATTCTTATCACTACCCCGGACATCCTCTTCAGTAAACATAGGGATATCAGTTGTTTCATTACATATCTGTTCATTTTGAGTTGCTTCCATACTGTGAAGTTGGAGAGAGTTATTTGGATCAACTGAACCCTCAATTTGAAACTCGTTTACCTGCAACCGATAGTAAAAACACATTCAGAGACTGGAAATAGACAGGAAACTATGCAATATGAGTGTACATGTGTCCGTGAGAGAGAGAGAGTATAGTTACTCCGCCAGTCTCCATAATTGGATTGAAAGACAAGTAAGATGAACTATTAGTCCCAAAAGCAGTCTCATTCATCTTATCTGCAGCTTCAGTCATCAACATAACGCTTCTACCCTCGTTGCCAGAGGCACATGGTAATAGTCCAGTTGGAGGAGATACCTGTGGCAAAATGGTCTGTTTGAAATATATCTACATCAAAAGCAAGAATTTTGGCGGCTGATAGCCGGTTGGCAGCAAGTTTCCAGACACCTTGCATTTCTGCTCGGGTTGAGGATACTTCGGAAGGAACTTTTGGAACACCAACAGCATTAAAAGGAAAGAAATAACAAAACTCTACCATATTTCAGTTCCGGAATCACAGGCTGCTGATTCGTGTTAACTATGCATTGTCAACACACTTTCGAAAACTTCAACAGAAAAATATGGTGCACTAAATGGACCAGGGACTGTTCTGTTAGCGAACTTCTTTGACAGTTTAGACAAATTCCTGTTTCACAACATAATCTAGAGACTAGCCTATAATAAGCAAGACAAATCCAGCACATTATCTATGTGTGGATTAGACGCACGTCATCAATTCAAACCGTGCTGCAGACAAAAAGCCGGATACTTAAGTGAAGAAGAATAGAGGGACGAGTTCATTATTAACCTAGTTTCAGACCGTGCACCACTGGATTTCAGAGATTTCTCAGTTATTAACAACAACATACTCCGAGTGTACACAAAACTTACCCCTACCTTGTAGAGGTAGAGAGACTATTTCTGATAGACCTAGGGATATTATAGAGCATTTTGAATAAGAGAATATAGAAATGAGAGCAATAACAACACCTAAATAACGTGAAATGAGAGCAACACAGAACATACAGAGGAAAGAACAGTATTACCAACAAAATAATGGGATTACGAAAGCACCAAAAATACAGGTGATAATCGAAATCAAAGAGTAAAAACATTATGCTATATCTCGGTTACTAACAAACAAATAAAAGAGAGAGACATTCGATCTTAAACAGGAAGTGTGAGGTACATACCAGTGAATTATAGAGTGAGGTACATACCAGTGAATTATAGAGCATAACAGGTGAATATAAGAGGATTGATGGACTGAGACCAGCAGCAATACTCAAATAAGGAGACTTAATCTCTTGATTCTGTGACACAAAAGAAGGTCTAAGTCCATCTGTGTTCAGCCTCGAGACGTTAAATCCAGTTCTAGCTGCCATTCTTTCCATGAGCCCTCCACGAGAACTCGTGTTCTGCTTTGATGGTGCACTCACATTCACTGTTTGATTAGTCATTGCACCAGTTTGTGCCCCATCATTTCCAACAGAGTTGCTCCAGTTGACATGCTCTTGAGGCTCGACCACGAGGTTTTTGCATGTACTTTCATTAGCTTCCTCCAGATGAGCTGGCCATCCAAAATCATCAGCTCTCAGTGAAGAGATGAGTGCTCTTGAGCTCGGGCTGGGGCTCGGGCTAGTTGGTAGCCAATCTCCATTAGGAACAAGATCATTGAACCCGGACATTGATCGTCAACACTTTAGCACAAGCAACACAAAGGAGATTTAAACTGCAATATCAAAAAACTATATACATGAACTTAATCCTCAAATATATAAACAACACATAACCATTTGCATAATACTTCAAAATAGTAGTAAAGAAAATTACATAGTATATTAATTACATCGACCTGTTTATTTGTCATAACATAATTACAATATCTATTTGGAAAAGAAGATAAACAACATTGATATTCTAGGCCTAAAAGCTACATCCACAATTTTCACGAAAGAGATTCTGAATATAACGAAGTAAAGAAGTCAAAGGTGATTCAACATTTACTATATTTGACGTTATATACATATATATGTATATATATAAGACATCCCTCCTTCATCTAATTTTGTTTCAAATGCATTAACAAAAAGGGCAAACAAGGTGAGCTAATAATAATCTAATGCATATTTGAGATTTTAATTGAAATGAACATGCATTTCCAGCCAAGGGCGGAGTTAGGGGCGCAAGGAGTTCATCAGAATCCCCTTTCTTCGAAAAAATTACATCGTAAAACTTAAAGTTCACTATCTTTTTTACGTATGTATATTAGATGTCGACTTAATCCTCGTGGGTTCTTTCTTATGTTTCTTTCTATATATTTAATTATCTTTAGTAAAACTCTAAAAAAAAATTACATCGTAAAACTTAAAGTTCACTATTTTTTTTATGTATGTATATTAGATGTCGACTTAATCTTCGTGGCTTCTTTCTTATGTTTCTTTCTATATATTCCCAAATTCGAAGGGCTCAATTTTTTTATAATAATAAAATTATTATGTGCCTTAACAAAAAAACACTATATATTTTAATTTATTTTTTTTAGTTTATTTCAAAACATTAAAGAATGATTTTTTTGGGTCAATTTAAAATTTAACTTTCACATAAAATATATAAGACTAAGATTAAAAAATATTTTGGTATATATATATATATATATAGTTAGACCATAGAAAAAAATAGAGTTCTTTTAATTAAAAATAAAGAAAGAAATTTGAATCTCATAAATAAAAAATAAAAAATGAAAAAAATTAGGTTTCGAATTTATTTTTGGTTTTAAAACACTAATTAACTTGCGCCGCTACTAAAATATTTTAAATAAAATTCTAACTTCGCCGCTATTTTTTTCCTCTTAGTAAAGTAAGTAAATAAACACTTAAACATTAATAAAGATTCAGTAAAAAAAATTAAGAAAGTCAAATTGATATTGGAACATAAGAGGATCAAGATTATGCAATGAACAAAAAGGCAAAAAAAAAAAATTAAAAAAAAGAGGAATCAAAAAAATCTTTTTTCTTTGACCATCTCAAATTAGTTTATGCCTAAATGGATTTTCTTTTTTCATTTCATGAAAATATTTTCCCAAAAAAAAAAAACAGCAAAAAAGGGATAAAGGGGAAAAGGAAGGATCAAGCAACCCCAGCATAACACTTGTTTGTCAATTTTACCCAACACACAAAACAAAAAACTAATTTGTTAATCTTAAATAGCTTAGCACAAAGTAAAAATAAATAACAACGTATACAGTATAATTCAATAAAGTGGAGTGTGAGCAGAAGAAATTAATTTGTTAATCTTGAAATAGCTTAGCACGAATAAAAATAAACAACCTAGTCATCATAATTCAATAAAATGGAGTGCAGAGAGAACAACGCTTAGCACAAATAAAAATAAACAACGTGCTCAACATAATTCAATAAAATGGAGTGCAGAGAGAACAACGCTTAGCACAAATAAAAATAAACAACGTACCCAACATAATTTAATAAAGTGGAGTGCAGAGAGAACAACGCTTAGCACAAGCAAAAATAAATAGTAACGTACCTAGGGTAATTTAATAAAGTAGAGTATGAAAAGAGTAGAGCGTAAGATGTACGCAGACCTTACATTGACTTAGAGATAGAAATGTTATTTCAGACTAACACAAGTATATATATATATATATATATATATATATATATATATATACACATACATAAAAGTTATTTTTTTTAGGTATATTTATAATTGGACCTAGATAATTTTAGAAATCTTGTAATGACCGAAGAAAGAATTAAGGAGACTTTCATAGACAGACTATATAAATGATAATAAAACTCGAGATTCGTATATTTGACTAAATGTATTGACTTTCAATTAAATTAGAAAATGTACTTTTAATCCATTTACTTGTGAATATTTACAAATATATTATGATTATCAATTGTTCATCACTCAATTACTCATGTGATACATTATATTCCATACCTAAAGGAATTCAAAACACACATTTTCAATTAATTAAGAGTTAAATTTGCTTTATCAAATATTATAAGAATTAAAATAAAAATTATTAATAATTGAAGGACCAAAGTGCTATTGTTCCTTGTTGCCTTATACTTTTTTTTTTCCATATTAAGGATTTTAAGTGGGCTGGGCTTGATTTGGGATTTAAGGCCCAATTCTCAAATTATGTGAATTTATCAAGTTTGACCAGCCAATGTCATGTGGAAATAAAAGTTTGACTAGTAGTCAACCATTTTTTTAATTTTCAATTATTTTAATTCCAAAAATAACACTTTTATAGGTCAAAAGAATTAACAATAACATACCATATATTATAAATATATTTGTATTATAATAAATGTTTGATTATGTTGAGTGTTTTTAGGATATGGTCAGAAATTCTATTTGAAAATTAAGTTACATTTTTTCTATAAATAAAGAGGTTTTTATTCATTGTAAATAAGATCTGTTAATTTTGAATAAGAAGTTTTTTCTTTACTACCTACTTTGTTCTTTTTCTAAATTTATATAGTTTCATAATACTATATATAATTTCTCAAGTAGAGATTGATGACATATGATATATGTAGATTTTATCTCTATCTCGTAGAATAGAAAAATTATTTCTGAAAAACTATCGATTCAAATAATAGATATCAAAATAAATTTAAAAGAAGAAAATAAAAGTGATGAAAATTAAGATATCAACTTTTAAATTCTTTTGAAAATGGAGTTATTTGGGGGAGAAATTAGAGTAGTATATAATTAAAACTTTATAGTTAAAAAAGTTTCTTCATGAAATTGAAAATTTGAGTTAAAAAAGTTATTTGACATCTAAATAATAAACAATTCTAGTGTAATTTTCTTTATAATAATAACATTAAAAATTCATATAATTAACTGTTATAAACACTTAAAATGTTTCTTTTATTATTATACAGAATTTATTAACTCAATATTCACATACTTTTATGAATAACTAATTTTTTTATCTAGAATTTGGATAGAATCTTGTGTTAGATAAATTTTTTTAATGTTTTTTTTTATATAATTGAGTCGTTTTTCTATTTGTTTTTATTCAATTATGCAATGATTATAGTTAATTGATTGATCAATCATTAATGGTGTTGTTATATCTTATTATTCTCAATTTATTTTTTTGAAATTAGGTATTAAATTAAACAACGTTGCTTTGAAGTTTGAAGCATTAATAGATTAATGATTGTTATTTAAAAGTGAAGGTTACAAAATGATAACGTAATCTAAGTGAATAGATTAATAGGTTAATTGCGATTTGTTTAAGAGAATAACGCTATAAAATTAATACAATTGATAGAAAAATTTGAAGTATCAAGCTGCTTAATTTTGGTATTAAAACATACACTAATTATTACACACTTTATTTGTTACAATCATTAATCTCGTCTACATCTTGAATGTATTAACTACAATACTTGAGGATTATACATAATCAAGGATTTCAATTGTTGATATATCGAGATATTAAAAATAAATAAATTTGATTAATTTTAATTTGTATTATATATATGAGCTAATTAAAAGGAAAAACACACTATATCAAGAGTGTTTTTAATTTTATTTTAAATTCGAATTCAAAAAACTTATAATTAAAAATAAAGAAACTCTATCCGTTTCATTATAAATCTCGATGGTAAGCGTTTATCTCACTATGTAAATATACTTGCAACAATAAATAAATAAATAAAATTTATTTTGCTCCATAGTGAACGTACCTTAAAGCTAAAGTAATTTATTCGGAAGTTGAAACTACAGGTAAGATTTGGAAAGAATAAAATTGATATAAATTGTGCTTCTATTTTTTTTTCAATAAAAAGTTGTTTTAGAAAAAAAAAAATTGAAGCATGTGGTTATTTCGTTGAAATAAGAAATTTTGAGTTGAAGTTGAAGTTTTATTTTGTTTGGATATGCAATTTAGACTTTTTATATTGTATATATTTTTTTATAAGTATTAAAAATTCTTAAGTTGTAAAATTATTAAAATTATCTCAATCATTTATGTAATTTTACCAAATAAATAATAAAATTATAAAATCGAATAATATATAATCACAAAGCAATTTTAAAAAGTACAATATTTATTAATCAAATTTTAATTTAATAAAACAATAAGTTAAAAATAAGTTATAGTGTTCAAGTTGTTAGTAACTAAAACAATACTCATCATTTATTAATTTGAACTAATATTTGTTTCTATCTCTTCTGAAAATGTTTGGATTCTAATTTGAGTGATAAAATTGAGAAAAATGAATAATTTGAGAACTGTTTGACAAGTTTAAGTATGCGATTAATGTATTGTTTTGTCTATATTGTTATTTTATTGTTGTTGATTGTTATCAATTACGCATTAAAGTTATTTTTAACAGAACATATTCATTATAAAATGATAATATAAATTTATAGATATTTCAAAAAAAAATTAAAACTTATGAATATAAATTATATTTTTTAAAATAGTCAAATATTTTTAGAAAAATTTGAGCCAAACAAATAGTGGGAAAAACATCACAAACAAAATAACACATTAGGAAACTTCGACACAACTCCAATTAGTTCCCTTTTCTTTTCTTAATCAAATTTTATTATATTAATATCCAAAAAATAAGAACATTTGTGGACAAAATAAAGAAGCCTACGAAGCTCAAAACAAAAACAAAAAACATTTATAAAATAAAACAACACATTAGGAAACTTCAACACAATTGCATGAGCATTTATTCAAATGAATTTTACTCTTATCATTTTCGAGTTATACTGAGATAAAATCTTTTTCTAGATTAAGATATGCATTTTTGTGACTATATTATTTAAAAAACGAATTTAACAGGAAAAAATGATACTTGAAAGTATTGCTAACTTAATATTTAAATTTTAATTTAATAAAAGTTGTACTACAAAACTATGCGTAAAGAGAATAATAAGTGTCTAAATGGCAAAAAAAATCTTTTAAATAAAGAATCAGCCTATTTATGGAAATTATATTAAATTAGAAGGCGACTAAGGAAAAATTATTTGAAAAAAAAAACTATTATAAAATTCATATTTCAAATTCATATCAAATTAGAAAGAGAATAAGAGAAAAATTATTTGGTGATTTGAAAAGAGTCGAAATTAATATTGTATTTTTTGTGTTATTTTTATGTTCATGCATCTTTAATTAAAATTAATATTGTTAACATTATATGCTTTACGAGTTTTTTAATAAATAAATAAAAAACTCTTAAAAAGTTAATTATTGAAAAACATAGCATGATAGATAAAAATGGATAAACAGAATAATAGAACCCTTATTATTTATTGTGTTATACAATTATTATTAGACCGAATATCTTATATAATTATAACTCTTAAATAGGGGAGAAAATCATGTAATAATGAAAAATATTAATAATAATTTGGTAATAATTAACCAAATTTTCAAATTATATTTGAAATTCCAATAAAAGTCACCACCTCATATCTTCCATCATTATAGTTATTATATAATATAATTATGAGTATCAAATTGCATTTGAATTATTATTTTATATTTTCCTCTTTCATCAATTAATAATTCAGATTTTTTATATATGAAATTACATAAAAAAAGAATAATTATTTCTATTTTAGTAATATTTTAATTTTAACTCTCTACTTGATATATTTAAAATATTTTTATATATTTAATATATTTTTAATTTTAAATTATAAAAAATAAAAAATAAATTATTTTTAAAACTTTTTATCAGGTGCTATAATATTTTAATTTTAACTCTCTACTTGATATATTTAAAATATTTTTATATATTTAATATATTTTTAATTATTTTAAAACTTTTTTATAAGGTCAAAATAGACGATAATATACTATAAATTATACAGTGACCAATTAAAAATTGTTGATGAGTGGCACAAAAACCAAAAAGATATGAGAGAGGTCCATCGTCACTGTATGAATCAATAAACAGTGATGCTGGATTTTATTTATATATAATATATAAATTAGATCTACTTCGAAATTTACAATTTCAACATCAAAAGCTTCATTCTTGAATTCCATTAAAAGTTCATAAAAAAAGGTAAATTTTTTTATTTATATGGGTGTTGATTTTATCTGTTTTGTTTATGAGTTTTGATTTTTTGGTTTTGTGAATTTGGACCCAAATTTGGGTTGAGGCTAGGAAAATATGAAATTAGCTTCACACACTCATAATTTTATTTAGTTATAAAGAAAAATTCCATCTTTGTGTGTTTTAATGGGATTGGAGGTCTCTGAATTGTAACTGATTGATTTCTCGTATGATTACTCAACTAATAGTTATTATGTTAGAAATCGTAATCAATTTGTACTTTGTGGTTATTAGGCTATAACTTTAGTCAGTGAAGTCAATTTTAATGAGTACAACTGCAGAATTGTGTTACTTTTCTTACGATTATGGTATCGTGATTTAAAGTTTATGAGTTTCGAAACAGTCTTTTTTTTTTATTTTCATGAAATAGTGTTAAGTCTGCTTATATCTTAACCTTCTCAATATTCACTTCTAGTGAAATTATGTTGGATATGTTGTTGTTGTTAAATTCGGGATTTTAATTTTCTCAAGTTACTAAGTTTTAAATTAATATTTGTACATATTTTGTGGATTTTGTCGTCTCAAAGAAAAAAAGAATTATCTCAAAACATATTTAGTGGACTTTTAAAGATGAGTATAGAGTTTGAACAAAAGCTATTGAGCTCGACCAAACATGTCAATTGCACTCTAGCTCCTCCCCTGCCTCCCACCAACATACGTACTGGATAACCATTTTGCTCGGACTCTTCAAATATGTTTGTGGATGATATTGGATATTTCGAAAGTAGTGTAATTTTTTAAGGATTCGGTGCACAGGTATGACAATTCTTTTAGAGTCTGAGCAACATAGACGGATAACTTTGTTCATCTAGTCTTGAACATATGGAGAAAAAAGATCAACTAGTATTGCTAGAATCTAAATATGAAAACTTACGATTCTCAACTTGCTTCATTGACCCTAGGTCATACTTTTATCTGCATGTTTTGTTGCTTCTGGGAAAAAGTGCAGTGTTCTTATCTGTTTTTGTTTTTGTTGTTGTTCTCAATCTGCTTGCTTAAATGTCATTGGAGTGTCTCTTTAATGGTAGTTTTCTTGTATAGACATTTGATATTGTAACATTTCTTGCTTGGTGAACTAATATATTGCTAGTATAACAGTAAGATAAGAGTATCCAATCCCTATATTGTGAATGCTGAGAGTTATATCTTGCAGAATGCCAACAGAAATTAGATTTCTTGATGTTATTTCTCGTATGAATCTTGCGTTGAACGTATTAATCAAATGTAGTTCTCACGGAGAACCTATAGATATTATCAACCATTTCATTACATTCAGTATTGGACTATCCATAGCGCGTAGCCATATCTATCCTTCTAAGTTATTCAGTAATTCGTTTCAGTTGATGACTTAGACAATCTTATTATTGGTTGTTGTTGTTTTATGGATTGTGACAGTTCTATATAAGTTTTTTTCACATCATTCTGATTTCTGAGTATGTATGTCATGCAATTTCGAAGGATTTTAGGGAATAGGAAGCTGATCTTATGGTAGAACCTTGATTCGAGATACAATTTTCATCATGAAGTTCAATCTTTTCAATCATATGTACTGCCTTCTTATTCTGGATTTGTGCTTTCGCCTTACTGGTTTAATACATATTTGTGGGTTCTGTCTTCGCGTAGTTGATTTACATGAAGAGTTTATGCACGGTCTCAACGTCTTTCTGGCTCCTACAAGGCCTATCTAGTAGATTTTTACACATTTGTAATGAAGATATAACTTTAGTTCTAAGAATTCTGTTCATTCTGATTCATCCTTTTGACCTTTGTTCTTCAAGCTGTGACAACTTAAGATAGGATTAACATCAATTCGATTGAAAATTTCAAATATATGTTGTGTCATTTGATCCGTAATACATACATAGAAATGCAACCGTTATGTCCCCGGAGATTTTCAGGCAGGCCACATGAAACATGATAGGTAAAAACGATGCAAAATATCATCATCCTTAACCATCTCATTCTGTAGTCTATATTACATAAATCTCTATATATTTTACTGGCATATGATTGATAATGGCTGCGTGGGGGAAGAAAATGAACTGATTCAGTTGCTAACGTTTACAGTTTTACATGGCGTCCTTGGCAACAGCAGAAGTGTGTGATGTGAATGCAGGGCATCTGTCAAATGGTGATCTACGAGTTTTGCCACCAGTTTTCAAGATATATGGTCAATGCCGCGCTTTTTCAGGCCCCATTACCACCCTTAAGGTATTCGAGGACAATGTGTTGGTTAGGGAGCTACTCGAAACTAGAGGTGAAGGAAGAGTTCTTGTGATAGATGGTGGAGGGAGTATGCGATGTGCTTTAGTCGGAGGAAACTTGGGACAACTAGCCCAGAATATGGGCTGGGCAGGTATTTTAGTTAATGGATGTATTCGTGATGTAGATGAGATTAACGGTTGTGATATAGGTGTTCGTGCATTGGCATCACACCCTCAGAAATCAAACAAGAAAGGACAGGGCGAAAAGCATGTTCCTATTTACATTGGAGGCATGATGATTCGCGAAGGAGAGTGGTTATATGCAGATAGTGATGGCATTCTCGTATCAAAAACTGAATTATCGATCTAATTTTGAGAACCATGAAGTTATCTGCACCATCTCTGTGTGTGTCTTTTAGATTTGTGATCAAAGGGAGTCAAAAAATTCTTGGACTGTGTTGTGTTTGTTTGAAAAGATGTATTTGTTATATTCAGTACAATGTAATAAGGATGTACCAGTTACTATTTTCATGACTCTCTTGTGCTTTTGTACCAAATAAAAGAACCTATTTTTTTATTGTTTCGAGGGTAAATTTGAATTATTTCTGTTGTCTGCCTAGCTACTAAGCTGGATATTCATGGATTAACGAGATAATTGTTCGATTATAAGTTTTGAGTTTTATATCTAGACTATTAAGTGTTTGCATCTTTTATCCCAACTATCATTAATTATTTATCAAAACACACCTCAAACTTGATCATAATCACCCAAAAGCACGTAACAGTTTAACATATCCATAAAATTCATCTATATGAGAGTCGAGTCATTAATTTCAACATGTGTTTTAATAAAGAATTAGTGAGTTAAAAAAAAACTTTATAGTTCAGATAGAAATTCTCAAAAAAATGACATTTCATGTGCATTTTCTCACCATTATCTCTTTTTATTTTTTTAAAAAAATCAACTAATTTCTGTAATTAGCCGCGTTGAGTGCCAATTGACACTATTTTTAAACATAAAAAGACTGTACGAGATCATTGTTTGATTATAAGTTTTGAGTTTTATATCTAGACTATCAAGTGTTTGCATCTTTTATCCCAACTATCATTAATTATTTATCAGAACACACCTCAAATTTGGTCGTAATTACCAAAAAGCACGTAATAATTTAACGTACCCATAAAATTCGTCTATACGAGAGTCAAAGTCATTAATTTCAACATATGTTTTAACAAAGAATTAGTGAGTACAAAAATACTTTATAGTTCGGATGGAAATTCTAAAAAAAAATGACATTTCATGTGCGTTTTCTCAACTAATTTCTGTAATTAGCCGCATTGAGTGTCATTTGACACTAATTAAGGTGTTTTTTGATGGATAATGAGTAATAGTTCATATAGAAAACGCAAAAACATTTAATAATCCAAGTAGAAAACTCACAAAACAGCAATACTTAAAATGTAATTTTTGACTAATATCTCTAAGTCGAAAGGTAAACAAAAGGCAAATACAAGACACATAGTAAAAGTTAATGGATCAACACTGACTCATCACAATTTTTTGGTAACTCACAACACAGTTCTTTCGAATTCTTTACTAAATTATGACAAATGGAATAATCCTCAGATAAAATTACTACTGCAGAGAAGGAAGCAAGAAAATGAAAGTGTTTAATTAAAAGCTTCTCTGACCAAAAAGGCAAAAACATCTGCTCTTTTCTACATATCTATGATAGCAACACAAGAATCAAAGAAGATGGGCAGGCTAACATTAAGGACAAGCAAAAGAAAAATGAAGCTACTAAATGATTCCTATATCCTCATGAATGGGATACCTAAACTCACCGATGCTGTAACAACTGAAGGAAATAAATAGTACAAAAAGGCAATACTGGAGATATAATCAACTTTCAGATGAAAGAAGTTCTCCCGCCCCTCCTACTATGCCGTTCATATGCAGTATTGAATTTGTCAACCAACTCGTTCATTGTACTGCAACGAAGAAAATAAAAAAACATTAGCTCTTAATAAACAGGATTCAAGCAAACAAAAAATAGGGAATTGTTTCTCCGGCTTGTCAATAAATATAACTTACAAAACTCCTACCATCTTAGGCTGCACTAAGCTTATACATGATATCTTAACCAAATTCATAGGACACCTCAATTTTATCTGGCATTCCCACTTAGACTTAATGAGACTTCGGAAAAAACCATTATTATCTGAACTTTATTATCTACACAATCATATTGGACATTTCTTTAACAATGAAAAATGAAAAGGAGAATTAGGGGAAGAAGAGTTAACTACTTATACAAATCTCAAAAGCATTAGTGCAAGAAGCCTTAGACATCATACCTAGAGCAGTTGGTGAACATGGCCAGGTAACTAACTAACAATGTGTCATTATATTCCTGCACACAAGAAAAGAGCAAATAAGAAAATACAATCAGTAAGTGGCAAAAGCTGATTGGCACACCTAGAACAAATATGCAAATTTCTAGTGAGCAGTTTCCACTCAACACTGCCGTTACATAAAACTATTTGAAGCTGATGAAGGTCTTCTTAGAAAACTTTTTTAAAATATTCGGCATATAAAGAAACATTTCCACTTCCAAAGTAAAAAAAAAAGAACACTAAATAGGCTACATTAATATAACCATGTCAACTCCATAACAAGGTCAAAGAAAACCTACCATCAAGAAATCATCTCGAAATTTCTCCGACTCAATTGTTGGCAATCTTCTTAAAAGACTGGAGACCTGCCTGAGCAATGAATTCTCACAGGGAATTTCACCTACACTCACAACAGGGAAGACATTAGAACTCTAGAGCTACTGCACCATGAAAAGATGTTCTCTTCCATTTCCATATTAATTTTGGCGAAAAAGTTTTTGAGACTAACATTCTCGAGAGCAATTTCAAGTAAAGATACATTTTGCTTGGTCTGGATAGTTCATGACGCTATCTAAGCATCTTAAACTTTCAGATGCAAAATATATATGTTAAACTTGTATCTAGATTTTATCTGAAACTATATTTCTTGGTCAGTATCACCAAGTAAATTTAAAAGCATCTTCTCCACAATAAGGAACTTCTTCGACAATCAAGTAGAATATAGCTTCAGTTTCTAGTCAAAACTGGATACCTTTTTGCATAGCAAGAAGATAATGATGTAGCACTCTAATTCTGCTGTTCAGCATCTTGATGGCACTATGTGTGCCTGTAAGGTGCGCAGCCACTGCACAAATAGAATTAATAAATAAATAATAGACAAACCATGCCACTAAAAAAGTTAGGGCAACAGTAAGATCATTCTACTTTGTATAAGCATTAACCAAAGCTTGAGCTTTGCAAAGATAAATGAAGTTAAAGGTGCTCACACTGAGTTGCGGCAGAGCCTCCATCAGATGGTTTAAGATGTGCAACATGATCAACAGATATCCGTTCAGCTTCAACGGTCTAGCAAGCAGTCAGGTATTGCAAGTGAGGAAAAATTTGTTAGATGTTCCAAAGACTTTGTAGTTTGTGGAAAAAATGATATGACAAATGAATAAGGAGATACCTCTATTGTGTAGCTTGCTTGGACAAAAATAAGCTGTGGGATGCCATCAATGATGTGCAACTCTTTGAGTATCAATATATAGTTTCAAAACCCAAAAAGAAATTAGTAAATTCTCATTATATCGGTAACTTTAAAAGCGGACACAAGAAGATATTCTAATTGGAATTTCTGCAAAGTTTATGAATCACTGTTTCACAAGGCATAAACCCCAAGATAATTTGAGAAATGGTTAGAACAATAATGAGGGCCGTGGTGGAAGACTCTGTATAAAATATGTTATCTTTCACCCAGAAAGGAGATAAAGAAGTAATATGACAGAGGATCAGTAATATGACAAATAATATATACACACCGCTTTCATAGATACTGATTGGCAAGTCCTTCTGTGCATGGTTGATAGAAGGATTGAGAAGAACGTACAAAGGGCTTTCATTGATATCCATCAACTGATACAACAAAATATGCTATTGTTATGCCTTGACAAAAACTGAAGGGAAAAAACAATGCTCTATAGGAAAAGCAAATGTAGATTATTCATCAAGAGGGCAGAATAAAGTTGTACTTGAATCATGGGCCTAGATGCCATTCTCAACACATTCTAGAAAAGTAGATGTTATAACAATTTAAACTAATGCGATGTCACAATTCACAAGCCTGGACCTAGTCACTAGATTATAGGCAGCTAGTATCACCCAAAGAACAAGTATACATCAAAGAAGTCAAAAAATCTCAAGGAGAATACTGTTACAAAATGCAATTTGAATTAGCTTATAGCATTCATTTTGTAAGAATGCATACAGCACACATGTGACTCATTCTCCAATGCACAGTCTGCACACACAATACTCTTCAGTCTGTTGAGTGCCAAGCCAGTTTATGCCCCTGGTATGGATCTTGGATTATATATGTTGCTTCAATATTTTCAGTTTTTTCCAGAGTTGTGGGTAGGGTTGCCTCAGTTACTCCTTGATTGCTTTTCATTCACATGGTTATTTGTACCTCACACCCTCGATACATTTCTATATGATCATTAAGATCATCATAGTCACCAGTGTAATCAAATGCGCGCTTAAGCCCTGAAGTGAGGCTCAAAACATGTTGAGCATTTCGGCTCGTTTAATGTGTACTTCAGTGTCGGCATCAAGGTTCTAAGACATACGTTCCTTGCCAATGAACCTTCTCTGAAGAGATGACAATAAACAATTGATGTTTCGCTTTATTGAAATTATTTTCAATGTCTTTGTTCATATATCTGATATTCATGCTTATAAGTAATTAGTCTTACACTAAACATACATATTTGTTTCTCTCCTTTGTGCCATTTTTTCATGAAAGACCACGTTTTATTTGCGCACTGCCCTTAAAGCCGCAATAGACCTTAGAGTTTTTTTCTTTTGATACACTAATAGTCACACACACACACACCCTCGAAAGAACATTCAAACACTAGACCTTGCACTTACCAAGTGGCTAGAGTACCATCAGCCAAGAAGAAACTCCTACAAAGTGTGATGCTATGGCATCTCACATGCATCTCCAGGAAGCCTATAACTTTTCCAGTTATATAGGTGTCAGTATATTTTCCTCAGCGTGCTATTGATATCTTACCCTAAGACTGACTTATCAAATATATGCACAGTTTGATACTTTATCTTTTACAGGTATTTTATGAAGTATCAGCGTGTGTACTGTAGTGTCCAAATTCAAATCCTATTCTCAATTTCTGCAACTTCACTTGACCTAATACAAACAAAACTAACAACTAAGTCATAGCATGCCCATGTCTAAGATACATAAATTCTTCTAATTTACAAACATAGCCTCCTAAAAAGCGTCATTTTTTACCCTATGCTCAGATGCCTCACTTGAATGCGATTGGGACATGTGGGCACACAACTTGAGAATGATTGTTGGGTAACCGAGGTTAATTATGACTGCTTCCATGTGTAGGGTGATTGTTTCCAGGTGAGGCTTCTCTCAGATGCCGGGCTGTGAGACATCCTGCTTGAGCAGGTGTCCAAGGCTTCTTGTGACATACCGAAGAGAGTCTTCTCGGTTATCCCCGTATCGTCTGTAGACGGTCTTTCGTATATTAGGTCTCACCATGTGTCATAGTGTGATTCACTATTTCCAATAGATCCAAATTTGCCCCATACAACTATTACTATATTATTTCACTTCACTACCACAAATGTAACATCTAAATAAGAAAATAAATTCCATATCTAGATCAAACCAATGCATTTAATAAGCACTCCTTCAAGCAAAGAAAAAGAACTCACAGCTCTGTGAATGTTCATATCTGATTCCTGAGCATCACTACCAGTTGAATACCATCCCAATATATAGAAATTAGGAAACACCTTCTTATCTGCTCAAAATTGCAGACATTAGTATATCAATTATATCACCAAAAAATCCAAGGAAACCTAGGTGGAGTGTAAAAAATCTAACATCACTTTGTTAGAGCGATTTTCCGCCCATATATTACTGTTTAATCTCAAACATCACCATTGGACGACGAAAACAATGAGAATATACCATCCAAGCACAGCTTTAATAGAAAATTTAAACAATGTTTTGCAAAAAAATGTTTATGCAATCAAAGAAATCATCAAAACTCCACCTAATTCTCCTTGTATAGAATCATAGCATTTAAGGAAAGAATAAACTAACAGAGCTCCTGTTTCTTCTCAAGGAAGGCACGGTCAAGTGAGTGAGTAGATGGATCATAAAGAAGTTCGAAGCTGTTGAAGATCTCAACTGTTCGGCCTCTCTGTACACCGATGACGCAACCAAATACCCTAGGCGGTGCCGGAGGGGAATCGGCGGTGGCGCTGGAACCGGCACCGGCATCAGCACCGGTAGCCTGAGATTTGACCCGAGTGTAGTGATCGGATATGTTGAGTAAAACGAGCGGGTGGAGCTTGAAGGTTAAGCCGCTGCTGGATGAAGACGCCATTGTAGTACTACAATTTTCTCTTCGTTCTCTTTCTTTTTATATTCTTAGACGGTCGATAGTACAAAAAATTGACACTAACAACCCTTTAAAAGCAAGTATAAATAAAATCGGGAATTTTAATTAATTTGATTTTCCATTTAAAAAAGAAATATTTATAAAGTTTAATAACGATAAAAGGTAAAAATAATTTACTTTTAATCGTAAAAATAAAATTAAGAAATATTTTTAACTATTTTCCTCATTTTTATAAGTAATTAAATTTATAGACTGGCTCAACAATACACAAATTAAAACAATCAAAATAATATGTGATTTTATAATTACATCATGTTTAATTAATGTGAACATTCCAAAATATAAGTAAAGATGATGTATGATATTTATTTTATTAAAAAGTAAGTTATTTATATATATTTTTAGTATGTTATTTGAATTATAATTTATAAATTAATGTAATAAATGCACATAAAAATTATGATGCAGACTCTATTTTATATATGATGGAAAATAAAATAATTAAATTTTACATAACTGATATATATAAAAGATAATATAATAAATATTTATAATTATCTCTATACATATATAATTCTAACTACCTATTCAATATCTGCTTAATAGGTTGTTTAATAGTTAATGAGAGTTATATATATATTATATAATACATGAGTTAGTTATGAAGTTTTTTTTGTATCTTTCATGCCAAAATTTGTTATATATATATATATATATATAAAATATGAAACTTATATATATGCATTAGTTATATACATTTTTAAAATACAAATCAAACAACATGTCAATGTTATACGTAAAATGCAGTTCATAGTTGTCAATAACATTTATGAATGTTTTGATTTTACGACATGATTCTAAATCACGATTTCTTTTAATTGTCATAAATAAAATGATATGATTTCTGTTAAAAAATAAACGAAGGAGAATTAAGATATGGAGGACATGAGGAGTGCAATATAAACGAATCCTTTTAAGTCCTAATAACAACGGCTATTTATAGGTGGCGATATTTGCGAGTCGAATCTAGTCGGTTATTGATCAAAATTTAATTGAATTTTAAAATCAAAATAAAATACGATATACATTTATCAGTTTGATTGTTACATATAATTATTCGATTTAATTTGATAATTAATTATTCAAAAAAATTATAATTAAAACGACTAACATTTTAGAACTTTAACCACTCAATTTTTTATAATAAAGCTCCATACATACCCACGTACGTAATGAAACCAATGAAATAAATAATTTGATCTTCACTCAAACATCCATTTTTACTCGTAAGCTAGTGACCATTTTGAAGTTTTTACTTTCATAAATAATTTCTAGTATATATATATTAAAGAATATATACGGATATACTTCTTACATATGTATATAGTTTATCAGAATGATTCAATCATTTCTATATTTTATTTGATTAACTTGATTTGATTTTTATCAAAATCGTGATCATTCATATTTATATCTAGTAATTTTTTTATATATTTAAAAGAAAATTGTTGAGTTAACGTTTGATCATAAATTTTTAAATATTCTTAGAAAATATTAGTTGGGTGAAAATTTGTCTGAAATTTCACCATGTGTTTGATCATAGTATTTGAGAAACATATTTCACTTTTTTTAGAAAAATATGATTTATACCTATAAGTTTTAGAAACAACCATAAGTTTGTATTACAAGTCAATTAAATCTTCGTTGCAATAAATATCAAGTAACGTACATGACACTGGAGCAATATAATAGTTTGGAGTCACTGTAACAAGCATCATTGTTCCATAATCGTAAAGTAGACAAAGCACATGATTTTATTTATCTTGAGCCGATTGTTCATCATTTTCATCAACAACCATATAAACACTTTCATATTCGTATTAAATATTTCATCACTATTTTAGTATTCACATAATAAAATATGTAATACTATCAAACAATTACTACAGAGGGTGTTTTTATAAGAAAAAATTGTATAAAACGACAAACTAATAAATCAAATTAATTGTTATAACCACCCTTTGATTTAATTGTGTCCCATAACAAACTGTTTATCAGTCACCTCTCTCCCTCGAACTCTTGCTCGCCACTCTCCTCTCTTGCTCCATCTCTCGCTTGCTTCCTCTCACTTTTATACAAATACAAGTGTATAAAATTTGTTTCTATTTATATAAAGTAAGAGGAAATTGTATAAATACATATACTTTTGCCCTCTCTCCCCTCTCCCAAATCTCACTCGCTACCCTGGACTCTCTCGCTTATACAAATAGAAACGAAATGTATAAATTGCATTTATGTTTGTATAAAGCGAGACAAAATTGTATGTACACATGCAAATACATATATTTTCGTTCTATATACTTATAATTATACAATAAAAATACTCCCCTGCCCAGTTTCTTTTACCTTTATCTCTTTCTCGTTTTATACAAATTCAAATTGAATATAATTTTTCTCTTTCTCTTTTTCGTTTTATACAATTCGATTCAATTGTATATTTCATGCCCAAGTCTCTTATGCTTACTCTCTTTCTCATTTTATACAAATTCAAAATGTATAATTATACAATTCTCTGTCCAAGTCTCTTTCTCTTTCTCGTTTTATACACTTTTTCATATTGCTTCTTTCAAGTGTGAAACAGGTCCAAAGTTCGGACTAGGAATTATTATTTTTTCAGAGAAGAAAAACGGCACACGGACCGTACTCGAGCTTTGGATTAATGTCCCCAGAAGTAAGGAGCATGCCTGCGTGTTTCAACGAGAACACCGAAAAAATCTAACCCCAAGCTTGTGGTCCTCCTTTGAGTGTGCGTTCAATTGAATGAATCTGTCAAGTCAAGGAACCCGTACGTAGCAGCAAGGATGGTGCATCGCCTATTTATCGTTCTCGCTCGGGAGCCAAAACGAACACGCCTGCTACCTACTGTATTGGACCTTCGACCAAGCATTCTACCTTTGTCGAATCGGAACCAACACCATTGCATTACCCTCAAACTTTATACAATTCGCTTCAATTTTATGTGTATAGCGAATTTATACATTTATATGTTTTCTATGGAGTACATTATGCAAACTTTGCTATAACATATAAATATAAATTTTATGTTTGTTATATGTGAAAGTTATCCTTTTAATAAATGGTAAAAGTTTGATGTAAAATTTTAATTTTTGAAAGATTTCAATTAATGAAATTTAATCCAAATATTTAGAAAAAATTAGTATTTAAAATATTTATTAAATAATAACAAATTATATAGCCTGCTGGTCACATTTCCCAATAGCGATAAAAACGACCAAACCCCAATTTCTGTCCATCACAAATAATCACGACTCCCTTCCCTATATTCCCACACAATCACTACACAACAAGTTTTACACCTCACCGTCTCCTCCGTCGACCGTCGTCTTCTTAACCGCCGGCACCATCTCTCCTCCCTTCAATCGACTACAATTCGTATAATATCATATAATACTGACAAAAGAGGGAAGAAAACTCGAACAAAGTCATGGCGATGAGAGACTTGGTCACCGGTGCTCCTAGTTGTGGCGAACCTTCTTCTTCTTCTAATCCACTTGGTGCTCTCGCTAACGCACTCATCGGTTCATCATCTAAGACTCAGGTATATCGTAATTCTCTCTTCCTTCGTGAAACAGCAGCTTATGAATACTCAATTTGGACAGAAATGGATGTATGTTATTGTGATTAAGATTATATTGTACTTGATTGATTGATATATAATCTCATACATGAAGAAATTTGTTCATCCATGTCTTCTATATACTTGTTTGCTTACGCAGTGTTAAATTGCTAACGAATTAGTTAGATTTGCTGATTGAGTTGAGTTTAGTCGGTGAAGCATCAAATAGAGAAAATCGCGATAAGGCTATTTTATATAGCTGTGGTATTTTTGAAGCATATAAGCAAGCAACTTATTAATATTGAATTCAGAGTGAAATGGATGTATATAACTGAGATTAAGGTGCGGTATATTTATTGATATATACAGTTTCATACACTAAGAATTTCATTCACAAATGCTTTTCTAGCTGTTTGTTTGTTATGTGTTGGATTTTAAGCACTACTACACCAACATTGTGTATTTCCTTTAAATTGCTGGCTAATTAGTTCGATTTGCTAATTGTGAATCTGTGCTGATCTTTGTGTAGTTGAGTTTAGTCCACTTCAATAGGCACATCACTTCTTCTATAGGTTGAAGCACATATAGATTCTCAGCTGAGAAAACATCGATAAAGTTATTGTTTGATTGCTCTTAGGATAATTTATGATTGGGAAGTGTTACAACTGTGATATTTTTGAAGCATATAAGCAAGCAGCTTATTAATACTGAATAAGAGGAAATGGATATATATCATTGTGTTTAAGGTGCAGTTGACTGATTGATTATTTGATATACAATCTCATACATGAAGTAATTCGTTTACATGTGTTTCCTCTAGCTGCTTGTTTGTTCCGAATTCCTATAAATCGCTGATTCTTTTTCCAATTTGCTAATTTTGTATATGTGCAGAACTTTATGTAGTTGAGTGTAGTCCATTCTAATTGGAAGACCACTTATTTGGGTTGAAGTACCTATAAATACTCAACTATGTAAACCTCTATAAGGTTATTGTTTGGTTTCTCTTTTGAATGATTCATGACTGGGAAGTGACTGATAACTATGATATCTTGGAGCATATATAAGCAAGCAGGTTATCTATCCCACTTTCAGACCGAAATGGATGTATTGTTTGATGCACATTTCAAGTAAATTGCTGATGAATTAGTTTAACTTGCTAATTGTGAATCCTAGCGGAGCTTTCTGTAGTTTAGTTTAATGTCTACTCTACACTAGGAATAGGCGTCTCTTAACGTCTAGTCTATACTAGCATCAGCATAGTTGTTAATTGTAGTGGTTACACACATGTATCTATACTGAAAAATTTTGTTGACAGAAATAGCCTGAGATGGACAAAAGTGCTTAAATAACATTTCAGGTTATCCTTCGGGGTCGCCCAGTGGTTTGGGCTTGGGACTTCCATTG